ATCTTCCAAGTAGTAGGTTATGAGTTCAAAACTTATTAATAGTAAAAATTTAGATAATGATTTGTATAATACTTATATATTATAACAACAGCTTTTCTGTCAATTAGTTGAAATAAGATATCTGTAACTATAGTTATACTAGCATGGCTGGCAGGTCATAAGGTATTTGTGTAATCTTGATTATACAGAGAAATGCAAACTAGTACCAAATAGTGCAAATCTAAAATAAGTTCTTGTAACTGTATAAATTCATAGAACTGGAAAAACTAAAGCTTATTTGAAAATATCTGAATAAAGAAGTAATACATATCTTTAATAATATTATTTTAAAAACTAGATTTAGAAAATGAATACTAATATGAAGGAGCTAAATGAATAAGAATCTTAAAATAAGAGGTATTATCAACCAGACTGTCAGAATCAAACTGAAAGAAAAAAATATTAGGCTAACTTGACATACTAAAGACAAATCACAGTTTTATTAAGCTATCTGAATTAAAAGTCTGAAGACAAAGTAGAGATATACTAAAGTATTAGAGATATGCTATAAAGTAAGTGCTTGGGTTCAGGTGAACTCTACAAGAACTAGTTTTGTTAATGTTCTATAAAATGAATAGATAGTTAACAAAGAAGCATATTAGACCTTATAGTTAGATGATATGTTTTGAAACAGATAATAATCTAACAGATATATAAAAGAAGAGGTTAAATATTAGGTTAAATAGCACTTAGTTGTATAGAAGCTAGGTGTTACTTGCCTAGATGCAGTATAAGGATCAGAGTATTTAAATAAATAATCTTCTAGTAAATTATAGATATAGCAACTAGTATAGAACTTTTAAATAGAATACTAAATAGATAACTAAAAGTTATATATATAGCTAATTGCATATTTATTTTATATAAGTTAATGTAATATATTAATTAAAATACAAATAAAAATAGAGAATGTGGCAACCTAGTGAAGTAGTCAGGTTGTCAACCCTCCAAGTGGTAGGTTGGGTGTTCAAATCCTATTGATGGTAAAAATTTGAATAATTACCTATGTAATATTTGTATTATGGCAACTGTTATTAATGATTGGGTTAGAATACTTGTAATAGTGGTCACACCAGCATGACTAGCAGGTTATGGGGCATCTGTGCAATGTTGAAGTTACATGAAGGAATGCAAACTAACAAATCGGGTGGTGCAAACACTAGATAAGTCCTTGTGACTGTGTAAATCTGTTGAAATTGGGTAACAAGAAGTCTATTTGGAAAGACCCGAGTAGAGAGGTAGCTGGATCTTCGACAGCTCTACTGTAAAGGCTAGCCTGGCAAAATGGATACCCAGGTCTAGTACTCGGTCCCAGTAATCAGATGGGCAAAAACTCTGGGTTGGGAGTCTCAGAGATACTACCAATCAGGCTGCCGAAATGAACTAAAAGAAAAGAATATTGAGCCAACCTAATATACAAATAGACTGGTCATAGTCCTACATAGGCTATCTGGATTGGGAGTTTGGTAAAAGGGCAGAGGAAAAGGCAGAGATATACTAAAGTACCGGGGTTATGCTGTGAAGTAGATGCTGGAGTCTAAGTAAACTCTACAAGGACATAGTGGTTTAATGGTTAGCCCTGACCGCAAGTGTTGGTTCTGCCATAGTGATACCTAGGTCAGCTATAAAAATGGGTACAGAAGGCTCTGGGGGGTTTACCTTGAGAATAAATTAGTTCTAAGGTTGAGGATGATGATTTGGTACATCTGAGATGACTAGTGATGTTAACACAGGTTACAGGTTCAGAGGGTTTAAAGTGGAACATCCAAGCAAGGGTATTAGATATGGCAATTGGTGAGGAACCTTTGGGTGAACTCCTTAAATAGGTAATATAGAAAAGTTAGCATTTACTAATTTCTCTCCACAGTTCTGATTGGAGATATGAAATCTTATTGCTAATTGGTTAAAATCGATCACAATTACAGAGGTCATGCCAATCTACATTTTATCTATTATACGCATTATCATTATAGTACAGTAGTACGTATAATGATAATGGTGAAGAAAAAATTATTACAATTATTATATATAAATTTGGTTGAGAAAAAAATGTTGAAACTATTGCAGCGTAACTGTACAGTACCTTATTGCTACCCAAATTTTACCTCTATAATACTTACTGTTCAACATATATTGAATGGTTTTATAAGCAGTTAAAACCAACATATGTGAAGCTATATGAGTATATTAGCTAAGTATTACTGTAAAAATATTTTCTTAACACTGTGTTCTAGATGTTCATTTATTTCATTTACTTTCTTTTGTACTAGGATTGTAGGTTTCAGTTTTGTTTTCCTTGAGCTTTTTAGATTAGGCTTTTGAATTCTGATTTTTACATGTTCACATAAACAATTACAGAATAAGAGTAATGATATTTATTATACTAGTTATTGGGTAAATTTATTATAGCAAGAGGGTTTATCAATACTCTTATTTGAATGCACTAATTTTTTTACTTGGATTTTTTTTTTTATCATAAAATTTAATGACCTTAGTCAAGTTAATTTGGAACTATTTTGTAAACCTTAATAACAATATTGATCACTTAATGGCAACTTAAGAGAGTAATAGTTTTATTTATAAAGTTTTTAAGAATTTACTTTTAAAAATCTTACTAAAATAATTAAATTTTAGGAAAATATCAGGTCATGTTAATTTAATAAGAATAAATTAATTTCTATATATTTATATTATTATGCGAATAAAAAATAAAATTGAATACAAAAATATATTTTAGAACTTAATTTGTTTTTAAAATTTTGAATTTGATCTGCCTTGAGAGATTTCTATTACTTCATTATTAATAATTGTTGGTACTATTTCAACTCTTGCAATCCTTGCTCTTTCCATTTATATGGTTTGTTGAAGTGCCAGTCACAAGCTTTAAATATCTTGTTTTTTTTTATCTGCCATTCCACAGTAATAGCAACAAACATTTCTTGCAACTTTTCAAGCTCATCATTTTTATTACTTAATTTTGATCATTTTTGATTTGTAGAAGATTTGAGAGAGCCAATAGGACATTGTAAATTATGAAATATTTTATTGTTCTCCTGGTTAATTTTATCACCTTGAATATGAAACTGAGCTATTACTGCAAATATATGTTTGCATGGTAATTGCCGAATTTGAAAATCACGACAAGTACAAACATACAATATTGCATCCAAATTATCTTTGGTAACAATATCTCTTTGTTGAACTGAGTATTCTATGTCATTATTGGTCATAGAATGCACAATCCAAACTCCTGGTTGAATATTAAAGATATCATTTGGGTTGATATGCTTGGTTCCTATGATCTCTCTAATTCGTTGTTGATGTCGTCTTGGATTCATTCTGCCAATCTTTAATTCGTCTAAAAAGACAGCAAAATCCAAGTTCCAGAGCATAATTTCTACAAGGAGATACACTTCACCATTAAGCCTTTGACCTGGTTATGAGTATTACAAATTAAAACTTGTAAAAATTGATTAGTTAATAACTAATCGATTAAATTTTTAAATACATATTAACTAATCAATAACTAATCAATTAGTTTTAATTAATTAATTGGTTGATTTTTTCAATAAATTTGTCAATTAATTAATTAGTTAAAACTAATTGATTAGTTGTTAATTAAAAAAATAATTAACTAATTAGTTAATAATTTGTAATATTACCTGGTCATCCTCTCATATACATATAATTTAGCTTGTAGTGAAATGTCTCAATAAGATTATTTGTGTCTATCATATCTTGTGCAGTCCCTCTTGTACAAAACATCCATTTATCATACTTTGATTTCCATCAACATTCAAAATAATTAGCGAAGTCATTTATTACCTTGATATTTATTTCTTTTCACCTATTAATCACCTCTGTAACTTTAATTTGTACCTTCTCATCATTCCATTTTTCTGTTTTCATTAAATATAAGAGATCATTCTAAACAGCTACTTTATGAGAATTATTATCCCGACAATTCAATTTTCAGTGCCAAGATCGTAAAACATGAAAGTAACATAGCAGTATAGTACAGTTGGAGAAGCATTCTCAGCTGCTTTTATTTCTTTCCCCGCATTATCAACCATAAAGATATCTGGGCTCCATTCATTATTATGCTCAAGTTGCAAAAAATTAAATCATTGTTTTAACGTTATTGATCGCTTAAATTTGCTGATAAGAAACACAACAGAATATCCACTTTCTGTTGCTGGGTGCCTAATAAGAATTGTAAAAAGATGGTACTCATGATGGTTCATACCATGGGTACTATCCAAACATACTACTCTTGCAAAAGGTATTAATTCTTTTTGTACTTTGGTTTGAAAAGCAAACAGAAAACCAGTATCATTATTTTCACTATTGCCACAATCAAATAAACAACCACCACCTATATCGATTATCTTTTCTCTCCACTTTTTTAAAGATCGTAACTCATCTTTATCAAGGTAAGAACACATTTTTATTACATCATATACTATTTTATAAATGTCATCTCTAATAATCAACTCATCTCATAGTGCTTGAACATTTTGTAAAGACCCTACTTCTAACTGTTTTATTTGATCTTGTAGCTCAATTGCATGGTAACACAGAAGACACTGTATACTGAAAGTGTCGAGACCTTCAAGAGCACGCTGTTGAATAAATTTGTGAATATTATTAAAAAGAGTGAGGGTATATAAATCAGATAATCTATCAGAATAATGATTAACATGTTTGTAATGATGCTTTAGAATTACTGTTACTAAATTTATTGGAAGCGTGACATATATGAAACTTTTGCACCTGCATTTTTTTGATTCTTTTTGTGCTAACCTGGCTTTTTTATTAAAATCTTTCCTCACAACACTCTGGTATGTACCATAGTGATGGCAATACTATCGCTCAGTCTATTGATATATTTTTTTTCCACTTCCACACACCTGATGGTCATGTTGATAATAACTTAACCCTAATCTTTCTAGATTCTTAATCTACTTAGTGTATTTATTAACCAAAATATGATATGTTTTAGTACTCTCATTTTTTGAAGACTTTTCTCTATCATCATCAACTATTTCCTACAAATGCCCAATACTATTAGTTGCATCTAGGATTCGGTCAAGTGTTTTGTCAAGCTTATTATCAAGATTAGTATTATTGTTATTTATTTCATCATCTTCTTCAATATCATAAATTTTATTAATATCAGATAATAAGAACATAATTTAAAATACAAAGTGAAAAAGATTCAAATATCAGAAATAATAATTATAAAATATTAAAAGATAAGTATAAAATGATACAATTTGTAGAGAATTATGATTTGATAAATTCTTTGAAACCATTTTCAGCATTTTGTTCTTTATTTAAATTGTTTTTGAAATATTAAGATACATAATAATTTATAATATTAACTGATACATGATTCTATATTTCAGATCAAATCAAACATCAAATGTTTTATAATAATAATTTAACTTAGAAACACTGCTATTATAGTACTAAATAGATCAGTTTACACTGATAAAAATATTTTTAATATTAAAATTAAAATACTAATAAGTTGTTATAACTGATTGAGAGAGAAACATATAGTATTATATGTATAGATTAAAACAAAACCATTTAGAACAGCTTATAGTATTCTAATTAGTAAAATTGTATCGAACCAGGTACTGTATATGAATATGAGTTATTTAAGAACTAGAATTGAATAATAGTTGAAGAGAATATTATTTAATGAAAATGGGTAATGTTAAATGTCAGAGTTATTTAGAAGCAATAAGTGCTGTCACAAAAATAAGAATTCAAGATTTCGACTTTATTGGCTATTATATGATCAGTAAATAATAAACTTGAAAGTCCAAAGTTTCATTTTTCTTTGGCTTAATTTTTTTAGTTACAAATTAACTAATTCTGAATTCAGTTAAGTGCATGCATATGCAGATTTATACATACTAGCTTTGCATTTATTATAGCATGATTATCTCAAATCGATAAATTATTACTTTCTTAGATAGATACACAATGCAAACAAAAAATAAAAAAATATATAACGATAAAACAATTTAAACAGTTTAAGTGTAAAACGATAATTATTTTTGTTTGACATATTAAAACATAATAGATGATATAAGTTAAAATTATTGCTGGGTTTGAGATTTTAGGGTCATTGAAATACTACTCTTAAAATCAACTTCTGGTTTATAATATTATGTGTTATAGTTATAAATTATACAGTATAACAATAGCAATAGCTATAAAATTAACTTAAGTAATTGTGTAATGATAAAGTGGTTATGCAGGGGTTCCTAATCCTGTGATCGATTTTGGCCAATTAGCATAAGATTTCTGATATCCAATCAGAACTGTGGGGAGAAATTAGTTAATGCGAAAAGTTACACATGTAGTCAATTGTATGCTCTTCTGTAGTGGTTTATTGAACCACAATACCGATAAGTGATTAATAAAAGTCAAAAGACCAAAGAGGTCACCTTAATACAAAAAAATAAAAAAATAAAAAAATAAAAATGATAGTTACTAATAATATCAGCCTTAACAAAAACAAAAAAAAAAGATAATTTAATAAACTTATATATAATTAAGAATTTTTTTTCTCTGTTAAATTTTAGTAACCTGGTTAGTTATATACTTCTTTATATATATTTTTATTTGTCTATTTCTTTTAAAGCTTTTTTTTTTTTTTAATCTTAAGCAATTATGCTAATACTTTATTAAGATTCTTGAAACTATATACATTTATAATTATATAGAATTTTCTAATACTAAAGTCTAGTATCATTTAGCCACTCTATTGGTGTCTAAATGCAATCTGCTGCACTATCTCAGTTAAAGATAGACTGCTCATCTAACTACTTAAAACCATATCAGAAAGGTTTCTCTTTTCTGTGACAAGTATATCAATTGTCTTTCAAGCTTCCTTCTTTATTCAATTTATTTTTTCCACTTTCTTTTTTTTTTTTTTTTTTGTTATCTTATTCTATTTTGTTTTTTTCTTTAACCTTCTTTTAGTTTAAGCATCTTTTTTTATTTTGCTTGTTATATTAATCTTTTTTTCCTATTCTTGTACTTTTTCATACTAAACTCTTCATACTTAGTTATAGAATATATTCTACACTGTTCTTGTTACTATATCTATGCATTTCTGTGTCTTTTAAAGCTTTTATTAATTTAATAATATTGTTAAAAATCTATATTATCTCTTTATTTAAGATTTCTAAATAAAATTCAATGTCTCTGGTTTCTTAGTTTTTTTTCATCTTGTGGTTTTATTATAATTTGTATGTAAATCTTATACAACATCAGTTTTAATATTCTTTTAAGTATATATAATATTATATTATATAGATGTCTCAAGTTCTTATTTGAGTTAATGTATCTAAAATTACAAATGCATTAATCCAACTAATCATTAAGAAATAGTTTATTGTAATGCAATTATAATTTTCAAATTTTGTTCTAGGTGAAATTTAAACACTAAATCTGTCACTTGAAGCTAACAACTTCCAAATCACCAAATCTCATAATATGTATATTATAATAACTAAGATTTCTGTTTGTTTAAATATAAAATTAACTATAATTATATATTCACTTATTCTATCTATCTGATTTAATTGGTTTAACCTGTTTTCAAGTCTTTTTTTATTTAGATTTGTATATATATTTAAAGAATTTTCTTCTAGATATTTTAAAAACAAAATTATCCAATAATTAATTTAAAATCATAATAATTTTGATTTTTTCGTAATAAAGTTTACATTATTCAGTAAATACAGACACAATTATAAAAAAATATTTCTTTACAAGATTTGAAGAATTATATATATATACTTTGATACAAATTGGATATTATTAGAAGTAGTATAACTCTAATTAATTTTTCTGTTAGATTTTGATAAGTTTTCAAAATTAAATAATACAATTGACTTTGGATATAAAAAACTCAAAGATTTAAAATTTTACAATAGTACAATATAAAAGATGCAATGGTTTAAGAAAATTTTGATAACAGATTTTTTTTTCCTTTCAGAATTTTAAGTTTATTTTTGAGAGTTGACTACATTCCTCTTCACAAGTAAATAATATTAAATGCAAAAACGCATATGACAAAAATCATTATAAATGAAAAAAATATTCTACAGTAGTTGTTGCAATTTACTAATCATATATGTAAAACTTTATATAATACTTTTAAATATGAATAATGAATAATCTTTATTTCAAAATGACTTAAATTCCAAAACAAAGTACTTAATAAAATAATTTGGAATACACTTAATTTTATTGTAAATTGAATTGGAATTCTTTAACGACTAGGCACATTTTGGAATTCTATTATAACTTACTATTATGAATAGTAGTGACGTAAGTAGAGTTGTTAAAGTCATGGCTCCAGCTTGAGCCATGGCTGTTGAAGCCACGGCTAAAGTCGCGGCTCGAGTCATGGCTCAAGTCATGGTTCCAATAGCTATTACTGGGAATGTGACTCTCTAATACGTACGTATATGCTATAGCTCAAGCTACAGCTTAAACTGCGGCTCTAAGACGCAGCTCAATCACGTTTTAAGCTGTAGCTTGGAGCGACACGGCAGATAAACCGCTTCAAATAAGCCGCTAACAACTCTACAAAAAACATACTTGAGTATATAAGATTAGCGTACTATACTCATAATATATATTATATTTAAATAGTATAGTTGTAAAGAATTTAATTATTATATATAACCTCACGAAAATTCTATAGAAATTTATTTATTTGAGACAGTACCAAAAAGAATTTAGAAGTAATTGAAATCATTATTTTTTACGGCTGTTTTCACTTTTACAAGATCGTTTAACGTTTAACAAAAATCAAGATTTTACGCGATAACAAAAATCAAAGAGTTTCATAAAAGTCCCAGCATTACCACCAATCAAGGATGCATTCTGATCTTACGATTCTTCAGAAAAATTTGAATCCAAAAAAATTTTAATTAACGTTAATCTTTTATTTTATTTTTATTTTTTTAGAAGAAAAAGCTTAGTTGTTTTCTAAGAGACAAAACTACTACTATTGAACTAAAATAAATAGTTTACCTATTCTTGACAGAGGTACTGAAAATATGTAATTACAACCAACTAAAATTGTTATAAAAAACAATTGCAATTCAATTTAATTGTGAATAATTGCAATTTGTATCTTTACTATAAATTTTGAAATGATGCAAAATTTTAAGAACTGAAAAAAGTGATTATATTCAAATACAGAACTACATTGCCATTAACTGTGACTGCATCTAAATGATATATTAAATTTGTATAACCGTTTCTTTGTTTTTTTGATTATCGGTTGTGATCCGGAAGGACATAAACTTTACTGATATTTGCCATTATTTGAAAGTATAAAAAAGGCATTATCGAAAGAATGTAAATTATGCTGATGATTACCATCATTTGAAGGTTTAAAAAGAGCGTGCTTTTGATTATCGGCTGCGATCTGATAGAACATAAATTACACTAATGTCTGCCATCATTTGAAGGTCTAAAATAAGCATCTTTTTGATTATCGGCTATGATCTGGAAGAACACTATCGATTATAGTCAGAAAAACATAAATTACACAAATGTATTCCGTTATTGAAGGCCTAAAAAGGCATCTATGTAACATTTGTTCAGAACTTTGGAACTGATTTTAAAACAAAAAAAAAACAAAAAATTTAGAATGCTATTCTATAAACATGTCTTTGTAAAGGAATGTAAATTAATATTCTTGTCAAATATCAGCAAATATACTCATGCCTATGTTTATTATTGCATATTTTATCAAGTCATTACATTTTTCAAACTGCATTTTTCAAAGTTCGTTATACCCAAAGAAGCCCGTTATAGTAAACTTTCGCTGCAACTGGATTTATAAACGAATCTGCCTTCATTCATGAACAAAATTAACACAAATAAATAATAAAAACGAAGCTATGAAAAGTTGTAGAGTACTAAAAATATACTTACAAGTTAAATAACGAAAAGAACCAGCGTCCAAATACAACTCACCTTTGTTATAATAAGGATTTTGAATTAATTATATAATATTTTCGAGGCTAGTATTTTGAGTCTAGTATTTTCAAGCCTAACCTAGTATATTCTTGCTATAAGTTGTAGTGGGAACTTCACTATAACGTGAATATGTTGTAATCGTTTGTTTATCGTGTTTTCTTGTATTTCTACATATGAGCCACCTTTATTTACGAATGTATACAGTTAACTTTCGTATAATAGACTGATAGTTCTTATAATAAAAATTTTTATAGAAGTAGTTTACTATTTTCCGTAACGGACTCTAATA